GAAGAGTGGTGGTGGGGGTGCTTCTGTCAGCGGCAGGAACAAACGCAAAGCTTGCTCTACTGAACTTCGATCTCAAGTTGGGGTGGTGGCGGCGAACAAGCTAATAAGTTGGGCTGCTCAGTTTAGTAATTTTGATAAATACATCTGGGCGTCTGGTGCCGATTCGTTTTTTGAGCAAAATCGGGCGTCTGGTATTTTAGCTCCGGTAGGGTGTATCCCTCTACAAAACAAATTCGGTACTTTGATTTTTATGTGGTCCAGTTATTGGTCTCATTCGAATAGTTCGTATTCACCCGCCTGGTGAGTATGAACGGCGAGTTCATCTTCAGTAAGTAATTCCAGTCGGTCAAAATTGAAGCGCATTTCCGAGCCTGATCGAAGGGTTCGAGTTAGCTTACTTCTGCTGATGGTAACAGACTAAGCGATGCATTCAGTCAGCAGACAGGTCAAGGTTGTGGCTCGTTGGCAACAAACTCAACCAACTTGAACCTAACAACGAACGGGTGGTTCCAATCACCGCCGGCTACCTCGCGTCTCTCAAGCCTCGTAAGCCTCGTAGTGCCATATAGCCGAGGGCTGTGGTGAACACTGTACACCTCGTGAACCACACACAACCAATCGTTGAATTGATGAAGAGCTTGAAGACCACATCAACTTGCCATCTATTGGCCAAAACGGTGTTTCAGAGCCCTACGATGTTGCGCCGTGTAGCAGAAGTTCACCGATACCTCGTCATCAGCGACTCAAAGCGCCCCCGATACGACTTGTTGGTCTTCGCATGCAGTTTGTCCGAGTCGGTATTATGAACGCCATCCACAGAGAGTAAGACGTCGCACACCACGCTCAGTCGCAGTCGTTCAACCGTCGCGGCAGCGTCCTCCTCAGTAATTGCCCATCTCCAACGCGTCCACCCGCAACTCATTGGGCGTCTTGGTCTTCTGCAGCCCCGCCATTCTGTCTGCGATCACCCTCCGCACAATCTCCTTCTTCTTGAGCTTCTCCAGCGTCGTCCGCCTCATGCTCACGCCAGTCAAGTGCACACCCGTGACCTCCAGCGTGGAGCCCGCGATTTGGTCAGTATGATGTTAACGTTTGTAGTGAAGTGTTACCTGTTTAACACCGGCAAGGCCGACACTAGCTGCTGCATGATCCTGGCTGGCCGCATTCCTCTCCGAGTACTAAATCGTGCGGTCGTAAAGTTCTCCTGGTTGTAAGTAAGCATTGTCGGGGGGAGGGCATAGGGGGCTGAAGCAGTCAAATTCACGTGTGTTCAGCTTATATATCGCGATAGATCAGGCACACAACCATTATGAGCTTTCTAAAAGGCTTTCCCGGAAAGCCTTTCCGAAAACCTTCATGCACCCATACTAGAGCTTCAAAACCTTGCTTTAAAAAATGGGATACACAACTTTCAGAGCTTTCCTGGCTGGGGGCATGATATTGTGGCAGATTTTTTATTGTTGGAGAAATGGAGCACTCCGTGTTTAAGCCTACCCAGTAGCATGCTCACTCTTTAGGTCTTCCTTGCAAAAGAAGAGAAGTTGTATGAAGATCCGAGCCGGAAAGTCGCTGCGAAGGACTTACTTCTTGATGACAGAGTTGATCCATTCAAGACCGGCCGACACGCGAGCGTACACACTAGCGACGTCCTTGTGACCGCAAGGCATGCCCCAGCTCGCCAAACCGATGAGGATGTCGTCAGCGTCGCCACTGCCGTTTTCCTTGATCAGCGGGCCACCAGTGTCGCCAGCGCACTTGTCCTTGCCTTCCTCGCCACCAGCGCACACTTCCGACGGGCCCACGGTGTACGTGCAGTTGCTGGTGACGACCCTCAACTCGACGCTCTGCAGCTCGTTGGCGCGCGCGCCGTTCGGGTAGCTGGTGTCACCCCAGCCCATCAACTTGGATGACATGCTCGGAGCGATGTCCGAGCCATCCGCCGCAGGGAGCTTGACCGGGGAGAACTTGCTGGGCTTCTCGAGCGTCAACACGGCAAAGTTGTACGCAAAGTTGTTCGGATTGTACAGGGTGTGGTTCTGGGCCGACACGACTTTGAGCCGCTCGCCGTCCTTCGCGCCGTTGAGGTAGTGCGTACCCACTGCAGCCCACTCGGCAGGTCCCGATCCTAGGCTGGCGGTGCATGTTGCGGTAGTGAGCACGTGGGTGGGACTGATAAGAGCACCGCCGCAGAACGTGTCGCCCTCAGCGGTTGTCCGGAGGCCGACCGTGTACGTCTTCGCGCCGACTGGAACGGTGCCTCCGCCCATGACGAGGGAGCGCTGCACGTGTTCAGCTTCGACTCCGGCGGTGCCAAGCGCGACGAGCGCAGAGGTGAGGGCGGGGAAAACCTTCATGCTCAGCGGTGGTGGTCCAAGTGTATAGTTTGCAGCACGCGGTTAATTGGAGAATGGCTATCACATCAATTCGGTGGGCCCATGAGGGCGTGCTTGCTGCTGCCAGACCTGAGACCCACTATTATCACATGGCATCAACAAACTAGGCATTTGTTACATAAGCAGACCAAAGTACCGAAACCATTCTAATTGCTGACTTAGTTCGTTGTTCGGTTCACCAGCACTGCCACGCCCCAACAAACTCGGCAACCGCACGGTATATGGGCTGTAAATAATTTTTTAAGTTCGTGCCTTTGCAGAGGCAGTTGGGGTTGCCCCAGCACCATTGCTGAGGTATCTACACATTTTACTACATGTATTATTAATACCCGTAGTGCATGTTTCTGGTTCCCAGCCCCAGCCCCTACACTACATGAATACTGTACCTTTACTTGGTTAACTCGCCCCTTTATAGGCCCTTTTCGTCAAAAGGGGCACGATGTGCACGATCATCGTCGTGCCACGATATGCAAAATGGCATGACTGAGAGTAAACCACCATTACTACGCGTGCTGAATAGATTTTTGATTTGATAGCACATGTACAAGAATGTCACATAGACGTATCCTTCGTGCGACGAAGTTCGTTCATCGACGGCACCGAATACCGGTACATGTACGCTACGTCCAACTACAGTAGAACTGTACAGGTATCGTCTTTCAGAGCTAGTCGATTAGTTCACAGCAAATAGCATTTACTGGGTAAGTTGAGGACAAATAATCGGTATCGTTTTCTCTTCTTCGTACTGCGAAGTTCGTAGTATAACATAAAATATTGTACATGTATATGCATGCGGCTCCACGACGTCGACAGTCGAATGCCTTGGGAAAAGTCAAACTCAATTGTACAACAGCGCTAATCCATAGGGAGGAGTTCTAGTTGATTACTTAGTAAGTAATCAACTTGAACTCCTCAGGAGTAATCTGTAATACGTGTAAGTATTACTTATTACATGTATTACGGATTACTCCTGGGCCAGGAGTCCTTGTAAAAAATGTATTACAGTAATAAATGTGCGACGTATTTTAAAAAATATAATGGCCGGTGTAGGTACCTTGTATACCGGATGTTGCCTTTTGAAGCGGCATGACCCCGACCAAGAAAGCGCTTGCCGCTAAGTTTGTTATCGAGCACAGTAACGCAGATAATGGACTGCAGTCTCGGGAGAGTGCTATTATTATCCTGGCCACCCAACCTTGGACGGAAAATCAATTTTTGATTTGATGATTTTTGATCGACCTTAACTTAGCAACCACTTGGCCGATGACGCTGCGAATGCCCTCAATCGAAAGATAAGCGTGTCTTTATTCGCGTAGCACTGGGTTCTTGTCCATAACTCGACAGGTATGTTCTTAATTTGATCCGTAATTTATTATTGCTGCGACGGAATCCGTCCAAAGTCGTGGCTTAAAAATTGAAACCTTCATAATTTCTTTTTGACCCCGTTTGGAGTGCTCAACCTTTAAGAGCATACTGAGGATGCTCTAACCTTCATGTAGAGGGTAGCTACAGCCGAAACGAAGGTCTAGGAGATAAGATAGAGCTGTCGGCGTGGCGCCACCAGTGTTCCAGGCACGGTTGCTGTTACATACCGGTATCGACAGTAACATTGGACTAGTCGCAGTCGTCGGATATAAGTTGTGACAGGTTTTGTTAGGTAGTGTGTTCACTTGGTATGACATGATGGCTATCCTGAATATAAGATGTGCGAGTTTTCTAACACCAAAGCTGTCAAATTATAACAATTAGGATAAATGACGGGATGGTGGTTTTTTATCGTGATTATGAGCTTATCCCCGTATGAAAATCGATGGGGATTTGTGATAGTGACCCACCCCAGACTTTTTCTGAAAAATTGAATTTTATTCCGATTTTTTCTTATAAATTTTAAATGTTTCATATCACAATATTAAAGTTTGTACAACAACTTACCATTATCAGTGATTGTTGTTGAATTTATTGTGTAAGTAGACTTTTTAACGCAATTCGCAGTTCGAAGAACTGTCGATTGGGGAAGGTTTTTGGATGACATCAAACGACATTCACGCTGCATTCGTCCCTTCACCCCCGTGCGGATGACATCAAACAACATTCACACAACATCATACAGCAATCGGTCTGAATGACACTTACAGGTTTTGATGGATGCCTCTTCTTTTTTTCCTTCTACTGAGATTGATATCAGATGCCATCAGAGGATGTGGGGCTCCATCAACTACTACGACGAACAACGTATTGTGTATTAGCGGACTACGACGACAAACAACGTATTGTGTACTAGCAAGTATTGTATTCTTTCGATCAATACGAGGCATCGGTGCTAATGATGCTAACCTTGGACACAATGGGATGTTCTCGTCGGAGTTGATGGGTCCCCTCTCTGGGAAGAAGAGTGTCAAGCCGGCAATAGCCGACGAGATGGAGGCCATGTTCACGCCGGGGGCCTACCAGACATGGCTCTTACCGAAGCTGTGGACCAACAAAGGCACTCGCATTCGAGGATCCAAGATAAAGACATTCACGGGGGTCCATTTGACTGGAGTGAGCATGAAGCGGATTACGCTGGCGTCCTACAAGATCTCTGACCTACAACAGAGAGCGCTAGGGATGGATTTGGCGAAGTTGCAAAAGGTGGGGCCGCTGGAGAACTATAAGCCGGAGGAACTCATGAAGGAGTTCGACGGCGAGATCATGGCGGAATTCGTTGAAAAGGAGATGTCGGCAATTACCGCCGAGGACAAGGCGACGAAGGTTGAGCGCCTACGACTGAGCGTGGCGTTCAACTTCTTACTCTCCGTTGATGGTGACAGCTCGGAGGAGGCACGTGGAGGAAGCACGCATTCCAATGTGGTGCGCTTTGAGTCCCTGGTGGCCCACCCCGACGAAGTGGACTGGCGAATCCAAGAGTGGAAGTGATCTAAGTGGAGTGGACGTGAAAGAGAAGATAACATGGGCGAGAGCGATCCGGAAGATTTTTAAATGGGTCTTATGCAGAACAGGTCTTGGATTTGATCAGAGCGTACTTTTTCTTTGAACTTGTGATTGGATCACATTCGCCATGTTTTGACAACAAACGCCTAACTTTAGCAGAATACGAAAGCCCTCAAGCCTCAGCGCAGTGGCTGCATGACGCCGGCAACTATCATCAAGTTGCCAGCGGCTCGCTTAACGGGGTCTTCCAGCCCTAACGGTCCAACCCGCTATGGACTGAGCCTCCTCTCCACCCATTCCAGCAACCACAGCGAGCTGCTGGACGTGGAGCTAGGAGATCCAGGTGCAACAGCAGCAGGCCGCGGCGCGCCGGCGGAAGGTGCGCGTGGCGTTCTCCAGCTCGTCGCTGACCAAGTCGCCGCTGGCACAAGACGGCTTCTGCGCTCCAAGGAGAAGGTGGGCGTGGGCGCGCCTGCCGTGTGAAGTGCGGCACGCATCTCGTGATCGAAGGCCGCGCGCGGCGGAGCCCGTCTCGATGGTGTCAACGTCGCCCGAGCTCCTGGTTCCCGCCAGTGCCGTGAGGGTGTCCATGCTGTAGCAGGAGAATCCCAGGTCGGTGGAGCTCAGCTTGGGTACCGCAGCGCTTAGGCCCTCCCGCTGCAGAAGACATCCGTTCGAGTTTTGTTGGGCGGGCGACGATTTCGTCGTGTGCTAGGCCCGCATTCCCCTTCGACGGCCGGTCGGAGGTGGCCCACTGCTTCGCTGCTTACGAGTTCCTCGGACGGAGACATGGGGTCCAGTTAATACTTCAGCTTGAAGCTCGAATCCAGCGCCGCCGCGTCGCCCCGCTACGAGTCATAGCCTACGACGTCATCTACGGCGACGTTAGACGCGGACAAGAAGAATGCAAAACGAGGACACCAAGCCCGAGGATAGGGACAGCGATTCAGTGGTGGGGAAGATGCAGTTCGCGGCACTAACACTGAGATGAGTTCATCGGGGCGGGGGCAAAGAGAGCAATATTGTGGTCAAGATCAAGTCTCACCGCACCCCCAAGCTCTTCATCAAGGTCAGCACGTTCCAGGGACCCCCGTGCGGCACTCCGTGCACCGGTTACGTGAAGGAGAAGCGCAAGTCGGACACTTGACTGCGTGGTCACAGCTGAAGCCCTCGCCAAGCACTTCTCGTAGGTTGTCATATTCGCTACGGAGGGGATGAGCAGCAACTCGAGGTTCGTGCAGGCGGCATATTCACCCTGTAAAGCGATGCATCACACGAAGCATGCCAATCCACGTGGGGTTGGCCGCCATTCTGCTCGAAGGCGCTCGCAGCTACGACTAGACCGTGCTGCCTTACACAGTGGCGTAGAGGTCATTGCTACGTCCAATACATAGTTTGCATATCGAATCAAATACAATTGTCTCACTATACATGTATAAGAGAGACCAGTGTGTGAGCTTACCGCCTAATGCATCTTGCTGCGGCTACGGTACCAACTCGGAAGAGCAGCAGAATATTGCAAATAGAGGTGCAGGTATTAGGAAGTGACTACGGACGTATCGGGTCTTGCCACTGGATAATGTCTGCTCATTCAGAGAAGACCACCTTTCGTCTACAAGAAGCTTGGTTATTACTTGGCAGAGCAGAACGTTGAACGGAGCATATCCAGATAGAGAAGAATTGTCGTGTCATGTTCCACTCCTGTGGGTGTTTGGTTCAGGTCTACCGATTCGGTCTCATAATCAGCATGTTCAAATCCTAGACCTGATCTGCATAAGAACCAAAATAAAGGCAACCGGCGATCCCAGCATCACGGTTTTAAATTACTATAGCTCTCGTTGATGGGACTTGTCCATTGTGCTTCGTTGGGGGGGGGGGGGGGTCTCTCATTCGCTCCAGAACTAATGCTCATTCAGTATTCGAGATGCAGGTCTAGCGTGCCGAACGCTTCGAGTGAACATTGGGCCAGTCGTGGAGCGCTGACATGGGGAAAATACGATCGTGGGGCTTCAAGGATACATCGTGACGTGAACTTAGTGTGTGCGGTAGGACATGCAACTGTCTCGGCCTGGCGAACTGCAAAGGGTTATACGTAGCTCCTAAAGTTGGTAAAATGCTCGACGCTCGGTCATCTCAACAGCAACGATTCAGATCGCGGCTTCAACTCGCCATTCATTGATCAAAACTCATTTTAAGCTGTTGGACGTGACTGTGGTTGGACCATCTCCGATGTTGCGCCGAGGTGTAGCTCTTCACCGTCGCGCGGCGATCCCGGCGCTGCGATGCCAGCCCTTCTCCCAGCTCTCCCAGCTCTTGCAGCTACGAAGGGTTTCAAAAGTCGCCTGGACAGCCGCCGGGACGAGTACCGCCGCTGTCTGGACCGTGGCGTATTCGAGACCAAAGAGGTCTCGGCCGAGACGGTTGAACTCTTTGGCAAGGCCCAGCTACCTGCCGACACGGAGATCGACCTCGTGGACTTTATCGAAGGGGCGAAGGGTGCATGCGAGCGCGTCATGAGCGCCATATACTCGCAGGAAATGATGGACTACGTCGCAGAGAGGACGAGCGCTAGGCCGGCAATCGCTGACGAGATGGAGGCCGTCTTCATGCCGATGACCTTCCAGCGTGACTTCATGGACCTGGTGTGGGCAGCTGACCGAGCCGTGCAGAGCGTAGGCGCTCGGATCTCAGGCTCAAAGGTGAAGTTCACTTGAGTGACGTGGAATCGGGCCAGCTCATGCAGATCGATAACACGATCGATCAAACACGCGATGAACTGGCGGCACCGGAATTTGCCAAGTTGCAGAGGCACAAGCGATTGAAGCGCATGGGTGCGGACCAGAGGTCCGAAATAATAATTGCGATCCAATAAATAATTGCGTTTTGCAATACTATTTTTTATTATTGGAAATCAACGATTCCAATACAATACAGTATTGTGCGAATTATTGGCAATTAATATGAAAAAAGGTTGCACGGGCGCCAAACATAGCAAAGTACTCATAAAAGGTCTACATACGCAACGATTAAGGTGCAGTAAAAGCCATAATGGGCAATCAACATCTTTAGAAACCAATATGTACGCAAGTCAGAACATCAATGACGTCCAGATGTAGTGAATCCCGCCGAACTCATCACATCAGGGGACGGCAGCGGATGGCAATCCACTAGGGACTTGAGCTTTATGTTTTGATATAGTGTGTACGCCTTTTGAGGCAATTGTAGGAGAAAAAACGAAGTGGGTCCGCGAAGCAGCTGATCATATAAATGCTTAGTCTGTAACCTCATATCAGGTGCACACACTATGAAGTGTGTCTGTGTGAAGCTTGACTGGTCATGATGCGGTGAACCCATTACCTGTGGCTGGCGTGGGTCACCGCTGCGACATGCTATCGAGCCCTTAACTGCGGTGATACCAAGGTGAAACCCTGGAATCCACTACACCAGATTAACGATATATAGCAAGATCCAGATACGTATTACTACCGGTAGGTTGTTTAAGTTTGCCGCAAAAGGGTTAAGCATTCACCATGCAAAGTTTTCTAAAGCAACACCCCAAAAAGTGTTTCTAAACGACTCTGTAATCATATGACACACAGAGAGTGGCTTATTTCTTCTGTAGAAATGCCTCAAATTGAAGAGCAGTATATTTATATTGCGGCAATTTTTTATTATTTCTCCTTGCTGAATTGTATTTTTTATTACGGTCTGATCTCGTACTCAATTCAATATAAGGTCTTCTGCCAGTTTCGTGCCGTCCTTCGAACTTGCGGACTTGCTGTGGCATAACTTTTCATTGAATTGTCCATTCTGAAATCTGATTGCACCCACTAAATCTGCGCGATTGGGCTGAATTTATGTACTTCACGCTAGTCCGTGTAAATTTTGCAGAACTTCTTGTTATTGTTTTGAAAAGCTTGTTGATTTGGAGTGAGCTGCCAGTTTCCTGCCTCTTTTTGATAGCATTTTTGTATGCTATGCAAATCCTAGGAGGCTCATCACCGGAAATTGCATGTGACGCTGGAAAAATCTACCAATAGACTACGAGAGTTTAACAAGGAGAAGATGCTAATTGGCTAAAACAAGTAGGCACGGAGCTGGTTGTAGGCACGCAACTGGCACCTTACCTTAGTACTGTATTTTCGGACCTCTGGTGCGGACCAACTCCCTGAGTTCGTCGACCCGAAGTCATTGGAGCAACGCATTGAAAAGGCGATGGAGATGACCCCAGGAAGCTACGACGATGGTTGAGCGTCTACAACTGAGCGCTACGTTCAACGTTGCTCTCTCAGTGAAGTGCGTTGAGGATGAAGGCGAGCAGACTGTGGACGAAGGTGAGAGCACGTTTGTCCTGTGCTTTGAGTCGCTTGCGACGCGCCCCGACGACGTGGACTGGCGAATCCAGAAGATGGAGATGATACACCCAGAGTAGGCTCGATGCAAGGTACCACGTGGAAAAATGGCAATCTACAGCGGAGAGTTTCCCACTACTTTGATTTTTATGTGGTCCAGTTATTGGTCTCATTCGAATAGTTCGTATTCACCCGCCTGGTGAATATGAACGGCGAGTTCATCTTCAGTAAGTAATTCCAGTCGGTCAAAATTGAAGCGCATTTCCGAGCCTGATCGAAGGGTTCGAGTTAGCTTACTTCTGCTGATGGTAACAGACTAAGCGATGCATTCAGTCGGCAGACAGGTCAAGGTTGTGGCTCGTTGGCAACAAACTCAACCAACTTGAACCTAACAACGAACGGGTGGTTCCAATCACCGCCGGCTACCTCGCGTCTCTCAAGCCTCGTAAGCCTCGTAGTGCCATATAGCCGAGGGCTGTGGTGAACACTGTACACCTCGTGAACCACACACAACCAATCGTTGAATTGATGAAGAGCTTGAAGACCACATCAACTTGCCATCTATTGGCCAAAACGGTGTTTCAGAGCCCTACGATGTTGCGCCGTGTAGCAGAAGTTCACCGATACCTCGTCATCAGCGACTCAAAGCGCCCCCGATACGACTTGTTGGTCTTCGCATGCAGTTTGTCCGAGTCGGTATTATGAACGCCATCCACAGAGAGTAAGACGTCGCACACCACGCTCAGTCGCAGTCGTTCAACCGTCGCGGCAGCGTCCTCCTCAGTAATTGCCCATCTCCAACGCGTCCACCCGCAACTCATTGGACGTCTTGGTCTTCTGCAGCCCCGCCATTCTGTCTGCGATCACCCTCCGCACAATCTCCTTCTTCTTGAGCTTCTCCAGCGTCGTCCGCCTCATGCTCACGCCAGTCAAGTGCACACCCGTGACCTCCAGCGTGGAGCCCGCGATTTGGTCAGTATGATGTTAACGTTTGTAGTGAAGTGTTACCTGTTTAACACCGGCAAGGCCGACACTAGCTGCTGCATGATCCTGGCTGGCCGCATTCCTCTCCGAGTACTAAGTCGTGCGGTCGTAAAGTTCTCCTGGTTGTAAGTAAGCATTGTCGGGGGGAGGGCATAGGGGGCTGAAGCAGTCAAATTCACGTGTGTTCAGCTTATATATCGCGATAGATCAGGCACACAACCATTATGAGCTTTCTAAAAGGCTTTCCCGGAAAGCCTTTCCGAAAACCTTCATGCACCCATACTAGAGCTTCAAAACCTTGCTTTAAAAAATGGGATACACAACTTTCAGAGCTTTCCTGGCTGGGGGCATGATATTGTGGCAGATTTTTTATTGTTGGAGAAATGGAGCACTCCGTGTTTAAGCCTACCCAGTAGCATGCTCACTCTTTAGGTCTTCCTTGCAAAAGAAGAGAAGTTGTATGAAGATCCGAGCCGGAAAGTCGCTGCGAAGGACTTACTTCTTGATGACAGAGTTGATCCATTCAAGACCGGCCGACACGCGAGCGTACACACTAGCGACGTCCTTGTGACCGCAAGGCATGCCCCAGCTCGCCAAACCGATGAGGATGTCGTCAGCGTCGCCACTGCCGTTTTCCTTGATCAGCGGGCCACCAGTGTCGCCAGCGCACTTGTCCTTGCCTTCCTCGCCACCAGCGCACACTTCCGACGGGCCCACGGTGTACGTGCAGTTGCTGGTGACGACCCTCAACTCGACGCTCTGCAGCTCGTTGGCGCGCGCGCCGTTCGGGTAGCTGGTGTCACCCCAGCCCATCAACTTGGATGACATGCTCGGAGCGATGTCCGAGCCATCCGCCGCAGGGAGCTTGACCGGGGAGAACTTGCTGGGCTTCTCGAGCGTCAACACGGCAAAGTTGTACGCAAAGTTGTTCGGATTGTACAGGGTGTGGTTCTGGGCCGACACGACTTTGAGCCGCTCGCCGTCCTTCGCGCCGTTGAGGTAGTGCGTACCCACTGCAGCCCACTCGGCAGGTCCCGATCCTAGGCTGGCGGTGCATGTTGCGGTAGTGAGCACGTGGGTGGGACTGATAAGAGCACCGCCGCAGAACGTGTCGCCCTCAGCGGTTGTCCGGAGGCCGACCGTGTACGTCTTCGCGCCGACTGGAACGGTGCCTCCGCCCATGACGAGGGAGCGCTGCACGTGTTCAGCTTCGACTCCGGCGGTGCCAAGCGCGACGAGCGCAGAGGTGAGGGCGGGGAAAACCTTCATGCTCAGCGGTGGTGGTCCAAGTGTATAGTTTGCAGCACGCGGTTAATTGGAGAATGGCTATCACATCAATTCGATGGGCCCATGAGGGCGTGCTTGCTGCTGCCAGACCTGAGACCCACTATTATCACATGGCATCAACAAACTAGGCATTTGTTACATAAGCAGACCAAAGTACCGAAACCATTCTAATTGCTGACTTAGTTCGTTGTTCGGTTCACCAGCACTGCCACGCCCCAACAAACTCGGCAACCGCACGGTATATGGGCTGTAAATAATTTTTTAAGTTCGTGCCTTTGCAGAGGCAGTTGGGGTTGCCCCAGCACCATTGCTGAGGTATCTACACATTTTACTACATGTATTATTAATACCCGTAGTGCATGTTTCTGGTTCCCAGCCCCAGCCCCTACACTACATGAATACTGTACCTTTACTTGGTTAGCTCGCCCCTTTATAGGCCCTTTTCGTCAAAAGGGGCACGATGTGCACGATCATCGTCGTGCCACGATATGCAAAATGGCATGACTGAGAGTAAACCACCATTACTACGCGTGCTGAATAGATTTTTGATTTGATAGCACATGTACAAGAATGTCACATAGACGTATCCTTCGTGCGACGAAGTTCGTTCATCGACGGCACCGAATACCGGTACATGTACGCTACGTCCAACTACAGTAGAACTGTACAGGTATCGTCTTTCAGAGCTAGTCGATTAGTTCACAGCAAATAGCATTTACTGGGTAAGTTGAGGACAAATAATCGGTATCGTTTTCTCTTCTTCGTACTGCGAAGTTCGTAGTATAACATAAAATATTGTACATGTATATGCATGCGGCTCCACGACGTCGACAGTCGAATGCCTTGGGAAAAGTCAAACGCAATTGTACAACAGCGCTAATCCATAGGGAGGAGTTCTAGTTGATTACTTAGTAAGTAATCAACTTGAACTCCTCAGGAGTAATCTGTAATACATGTAAGTATTACATGTAAGTATTACTTATTACATGTATTACGGATTACTCCTGGGCCAGGAGTCCTTGTAAAAAAATGTATTACAGTAATAAATGTGCGACGTATTTTAAAAAATATAATGGCCGGTGTAGGTACCTTGTATACCGGATGTTGCCTTTTGAAGCGGCATGACCCCGACCAAGAAAGCGCTTGCCGCTAAGTTTGTTATCGAGCACAGTAACGCAGATAATGGACTGCAGTCTCGGGAGAGTGCTATTATTATCCTGGCCACCCAACCTTGGACAGAAAATCAATTTTTGATTTGATGATTTTTGATCGACCTTAACTTAGCAACCACTTGGCCGATGACGCTGCGAATGCCCTCAATCGAAAGATAAGCGTGTCTTTATTCGCGTAGCACTGGGTTCTTGTCCATAACTCGACAGGTATGTTCTTAATTTGATCCGTAATTTATTATTGCTGCGACGGAATCCGTCCAAAGTCGTGGCTTAAAAATTGAAACCTTCATAATTTCTTTTTGACCCCGTTTGGAGTGCTCAACCTTTAAGAGCATACTGAGGATGCTCTAACCTTCATGTAGAGGGTAGCTACAGCCGAAACGAAGGTCTAGGAGATAAGATAGAGCTGTCGGCGTGGCGCCACCAGTGTTCCAGGCACGGTTGCTGTTACATACCGGTATCGACAGTAACATTGGACTAGTCGCAGTCGTCGGATATAAGTTGTGACAGGTTTTGTTAGGTAGGGTGTTCACTTGGTATGACATGATGGCTATCCTGAATATAAGCTGTGCGAGTTTTCTAACACCAAAGCTGTCAAATTATAACAATTAGGATAAATGACGGGATGGTGGTTTTTTATCGTGATTATGAGCTTATCCCCGTATGAAAATCGATGGGGATTTGTGATAGTGACCCACCCCAGACTTTTTCTGAAAAATTGAATTTTATTCCGATTTTTTCTTATAAATTTTAAATGTTTCATATCACAATATTAAAGTTTGTACAACAACTTACCATTATCAGTGATTGTTGTTGAATTTATTGTGTAAGTAGACTTTTTAACGCAATTCGCAGTTCGAAGAACTGTCGATTGGGGAAGGTTTTTGGATGACATCAAACGACATTCACGCTGCATTCGTCCCTTCACCCCCGTGCGGATGACATCAAACAACATTCACACAACATCATACAGCAATCGGTCTGAATGACACTTACAGGTTTTGATGGATGCCTCTTCTTTTTTTCCTTCTACTGAGATTGATATCAGATGCCATCAGAGGATGTGGGGCTCCATCAACTACTACGACGAACAACGTATTGTGTATTAGCGGACTACGACGACAAACAACGTATTGTGTACTAGCAAGTATTGTATTCTTTCGATCAATACGAGGCATCGGTGCTAATGATGCTAACCTTGGACACAATGGGATGTTCTCGTCGGAGTTGATGGGTCCCCTCTCTGGGAAGAAGAGTGTCAAGCCGGCAAAATTGAAGCGCATTTCCGAGCCTGATCGAAGGGTTCGAGTTAGCTTACTTCTGCTGATGGTAACAGACTAAGCGATGCATTCAGTCGGCAGACAGGTCAAGGTTGTGGCTCGTTGGCAACAAACTCAACCAACTTGAACCTAACAACAAACGGGTGGTTCCAATCACCGCCGGCTACCTCGCGTCTCTCAAGCCTCGTAAGCCTCGTAGTGCCATATAGCCGAGGGCTGTGGTGAACACTGTACACCTCGTGAACCACACACAACCAATCGTTGAATTGATGAGGAGCTTGAAGACCACATCAACTTGCCATCTATTGGCCAAACGGTGTTTCAGAGCCCTACGATGTTGCGCCGTGTAGCAGAAGTTCACCGATACCTCGTCATCAGCGACTCAAAGCGCCCCCGATACGACTTGTTGGTCTTCGCATGCAGTTTGTCCGAGTCGGTATTATGAACGCCATCCACAGAGAGTAAGACGTCGCACACCACGCTCAGTCGCAGTCGTTCAACCGTCGCGGCAGCGTCCTCCTCAGTAATTGCCCATCTCCAACGCGTCCACCCGCAACTCATTGGGCGTCTTGGTCTTCTGCAGCCCCGCCATTCTGTCTGCGATCACCCTCCGCACAATCTCCTTCTTCTTGAGCTTCTCCAGCGTCGTCCGCCTCATGCTCACGCCAGTCAAGTGCACACCCGTGACCTCCAGCGTGGAGCCCGCGATTTGGTCAGTATGATGTTAACGTTTGTAGTGAAGTGTTACCTGTTTAACACCGGCAAGGCCGACACTAGCTGCTGCATGATCCTGGCTGGCCGCATTCCTCTCCGAGTACTAAATCGTGCGGTCGTAAAGTTCTCCTGGTTGTAAGTAAGCATTGTCGGGGGGAGGGCATAGGGGGCTGAAGCAGTCAAATTCACGTGTGTTCAGCTTATATATCGCGATAGATCAGGCACACAACCATTATGAGCTTTCTAAAAGGCTTTCCCGGAAAGCCTTTCCGAAAACCTTCATGCACCCATACTAGAGCTTCAAAACCTTGCTTTAAAAAATGGGATACACAACTTTCAGAGCTTTCCTGGCTGGGGGCATGATATTGTGGCAGATTTTTTATTGTTGGAGAAATGGAGCACTCCGTGTTTAAGCCTACCCAGTAGCATGCTCACTCTTTAGGTCTTCCTTGCAAAAGAAGAGAAGTTGTATGAAGATCCGAGCCGGAAAGTCGCTGCGAAGGACTTACTTCTTGATGACAGAGTTGATCCATTCAAGACCGGCCGACACGCGAGCGTACACACTAGCGACGTCCTTGTGACCGCAAGGCATGCCCCAGCTCGCCAAACCGATGAGGATGTCGTCAGCGTCGCCACTGCCGTTTTCCTTGATCAGCGGGCCACCAGTGTCGCCAGCGCACTTGTCCTTGCCTTCCTCGCCACCAGCGCACACTTCCGACGGGCCCACGGTGTACGTGCAGTTGCTGGTGACGACCCTCAACTCGACGCTCTGCAGCTCGTTGGCGCGCGCGCCGTTCGGGTAGCTGGTGTCACCCCAGCCCATCAACTTGGATGACATGCTCGGAGCGATGTCCGAGCCATCCGCCGCAGGGAGCTTGACCGGGGAGAACTTGCTGGGCTTCTCGAGCGTCAACACGGCAAAGTTGTACGCAAAGTTGTTCGGATTGTACAGGGTGTGGTTCTGGGCCGACACGACTTTGAGCCGCTCGCCGTCCTTCGCGCCGTTGAGGTAGTGCGTACCCACTGCAGCCCACTCGGCAGGTCCCGATCCTAGGCTGGCGGTGCATGTTGCGGTAGTGAGCACGTGGGTGGGACTGATAAGAGCACCGCCGCAGAACGTGTCGCCCTCAGCGGTTGTCCGGAGGCCGACCGTGTACGTCTTCGCGCCGACTGGAACGGTGCCTCCGCCCATGACGAGGGAGCGCTGCACGTGTTCAGCTTCGACTCCGGCGGTGCCAAGCGCGACGAGCGCAGAGGTGAGGGCGGGGAAAACCTTCATGCTCAGCGGTGGTGGTCCAAGTGTATAGTTTGCAGCACGCGGTTAATTGGAGAATGGCTATCACATCAATTCGGTGGGCCCATGAGGGCGTGCTTGCTGCTGCCAGACCTGAGACCCACTATTATCACATGGCATCAACAAACTAGGCATTTGTTACATAAGCAGACCAAAGTACCGAAACCATTCTAATTGCTGACTTAGTTCGTTGTTCGGTTCACCAGCACTGCCACGCCCCAACAAACTCGGCAACCGCACGGTATATGGGCTGTAAATAATTTTTTAAGTTCGTGCCTTTGCAGAGGCAGTTGGGGTTGCCCCAGCACCATTGCTGAGGTATCTACACATTTTACTACATGTATTATTAATACCCGTAGTGCATGTTTCTGGTTCCCAGCCCCAGCCCCTACACTACATGAATACTGTACCTTTACTTGGTTAGCTCGCCCCTTTATAGGCCCTTTTCGTCAAAAGGGGCACGATGTGCACGATCATCGTCGTGCCACGATATGCAAAATGGCATGACTGAGAGTAAACCACCATTACTACGCGTGCTGAATAGATTTTTGATTTGATAGCACATGTACAAGAATGTCACATAGACGTATCCTTCGTGCGACGAAGTTCGTTCATCGACGGCACCGAATACCGGTACATGTACGCTACGTCCAACTACAGTAGAACTGTACAGGTATCGTCTTTCAGAGCTAGTCGATTAGTTCACAGCAAATAGCATTTACTGGGTAAGTTGAGGACAAATAATCGGTATCGTTTTCTCTTCTTCGTACTGCGAAGTTCGTAGTATAACATAAAATATTGTACATGTATATGCATGCGGCTCCACGACGTCGACAGTCGAATGCCTTGGGAAAAGTCAAACGCAATTGTACAACAGCGCTAATCCATAGGGAGGAGTTCTAGTTGATTACTTAGTAAGTAATCAACTTGAACTCCTCAGGAGTAATCTGTAATACATGTAAGTATTACATGTAAGTATTACTTATTACATGTATTACGGATTACTCCTGGGCCAGGAGTCCTTGTAAAAAATGTATTACAGTAATAAATGTGCGACGTATTTTAAAAAATATAATGGCCGGTGTAGGTACCTTGTATACCGGATGTTGCCTTTTGAAGCGGCATGACCCCGACCAAGAAAGCGCTTGCCGCTAAGTTTGTTATCGAGCACAGTAACGCAGATAATGGACTGCAGTCTCGGGAGAGTGCTATTATTATCCTGGCCACCCAACCTTGGACGGAAAATCAATTTTTGATTTGATGATTTTTGATCGACCTTAACTTAGCAACCACTTGGCCGATGACGCTGCGAATGCCCTCAATCGAAAGATAAGCGTGTCTTTATTCGCGTAGCACTGGGTTCTTGTCCATAACTCGACAGGTATGTTCTTAATTTGATCCGTAATTTATTATTGCTGCGACGGAATCCGTCCAAAGTCGTGGCTTAAAAATTGAAACCTTCATAATTTCTTTTTGACCCCGTTTGGAGTGCTCAACCTTTAAGAGCATACTGAGGATGCTCTAACCTTCATGTAGAGGGTAGCTACAGCCGAAACGAAGGTCTAGGAGATAAGATAGAGCTGCCGGCGTGGCGCCACCAGTGTTCCAGGCACGGTTGCTGTTACATACCGGTATCGACAGTAACATTGGACTAGTCGCAGTCGTCGGATATAAGTTGTGACAGGTTTTGTTAGGTAGGGTGTTCACTTGGTATGACATGATGGCTATCCTGAATATAAGCTGTGCGAGTTTTCTAACACCAAAGCTGTCAAATTATAACAATTAGGATAAATGACGGGATGGTGGTTTTTTATCGTGATTATGAGCTTATCCCCGTATGAAAATCGATGGGGATTTGTGATAGTGACCCACCCCAGACTTTTTCTGAAAAATTGAATTTTATTCCGATTTTTTCTTATAAATTTTAAATGTTTCATATCACAATATTAAAGTTTGTACAACAACTTACCATTATCAGTGATTGTTGTTGAATTTATTGTGTAAGTAGACTTTTTAACGCAATTCGCAGTTCGAAGAACTGTCGATTGGGGAAGGTTTTTGGATGACATCAAACGACATTCACGCTGCATTCGTCCCTTCACCCCCGTGCGGATGACATCAAACAACATTCACACAACATCATACAGCAATCGGTCTGAATGACACTTACAGGTTTTGATGGATGCCTCTTCTTTTTTTCCTTCTACTGAGATTGATATCAGATGCCATCAGAGGATGTGGGGCTCCATCAACTACTACGACGAACAACGTATTGTGTATTAGCGGACTACGACGACAAACAACGTATTGTGTACTAGCAAGCATTGTATTCTTTCGATCAATATGAGGCATCGGTGCTAATGATGCTAACCTTGGACACAACTGGTGCCACATCACTGCATCGTATTATACTACTGTACATGCAGCTTCAAAGCACTCAACACAGTACTTACTCATTCCATTAGCGGTAAAATTATCGATTCGATCTGGATGAATTAGATAAAACATTTCACTAAAACATTGCAAAAACTACTTAAAGTCCTAGGTTGTGCGATCCAAGATAGGAAGTATAGCTCGATTATTTTCGTTCAACAATTTTTTTTAATCCGAACCCAAATCTATCCGCCGGCAATGCGGTGACGCCCTATACGGTGACGAACGAATTCATTCAGCGGAGACTCAAAAAGTGCTGCACCTGGTGGTACGTCTTCTCCGAAAAAAAAGGCTAAAGGTTAGCTGCACTAGCTTAGGCATTTATTTATGAAGACTTGGATGATTTAAGCTTGTCTTGTGTGAGACTACAATGCGACCCGCAGAGATCCACCGAACTGGTGGTGTAGAATGATCTACTACTTGATCCTGTTCTTGTCAAAACAAGTTCAAAGTACATTGTTACCGATATTATTTCAGATCATCCTAATGCTACACCGTTTCCCAATCAAGTTGCCAAGTTTCCCAGCCAGGCTGCAAAATGCCCCGTCCGTGGGATAGCTAATTCAAGGCTGTGTGGCGACACACAGTTTTTAATTTAAGGCTACAGAAAGTGGCGATTTGCAAGAAAGCGGCGCTTTTCCCAGACTTGCAAAAATCGCCCCATCGTCATCCCACCGTTTTGCAAAACTCACCAGATGCATGACCGCCCTACGATATTTCATGCAAAGGCGGAGGGATACAGGTACTTGCCCACAAGAAGTCGGCACCAAGTCCCCGAATCTAGTGAAAAGTGGCCCATACACCTTAACATAAATGTCCTATGGCATGGTAGACGTTTCCAGCGAATATACTCACCTCAACGGTTCATTTGGCCAACCACATATGAATACAGCATGCATGAAATATCGTAGGGCGGTCATGCATCTGGTGAGTTTTGCAAAACGGTGGGATGACGATGGGGCGATTTTTGCAAGTCTGGGAAAAGCGCCGCTTTCTTGCAAATCGCCACTTTCTGTAGCCTTAAATTAAAAACTGTGTGTCGCCACACAGCCTTGAATTAGCTATCCCACGGACGGGGCATTTTGCAGCCTGGCTGGGAAACTTGGCAACTTGATTGGGAAATGGTAGGGATGTGGCCAATATCGGGCCGATTTTGGAGGCGTCTAACTTTTTCGACTGTAACTTTTGATCTACGCTAAAGTAGTACACAGCTAGGGTATCGATGGAAAGCTAATGATACGGCGGGCTCCACTGTCATTTGCATCCGCTACCACATTTAACCGGAGTTCAGCCACCCCTTGAAAAGGGTTCCACGGTCCATGTGCATAAATCGTCGGTCGTCAACTCTTACCTTAAACTTCAACGATTAACGCCATCGTTTGTTTGCTGATACAAACGGGGCGATCTCCGGTTCGATAAAAAGTTGACCTCAGTTTAAGAACTTGTCATACCTTAGAACTGGGTAACATTTGAAGGGTCGTGTTTGGGCGCCGTCCAAGATGAGTTTGTGTGTTCTTAAAAAGAGGTAAAATTAGATCGAAATCGCCCGGTAGGCTATGATATTTCATTTGCCCTACCCCATTCTCAATTGTATACAGGGGTTCATTAATTGGAGTAAAAACTTTTTACTTTTTACTAAAAAGTACCAGTAAAAAGGGTAAGAAGTCTTTATGCATATTTCATTATAAGGGGGCTATGCCCCAATAAGCGATATTAACACTGAATTGCCAACACGGTAGATGACATTCAAGGGAGGGTGGAAGGGATGGAACTGGCCAAGTCCATCCAACGCACCACGTCAGCTGCTAAAGCCAGCGGCATGTATCGTACGATTCAAAGAATAAAAAGGAAAATAGAGGTTCTTGTCAGCAAATTCCTCGATTGCGAGCATGCTTCATTTATATAATTTCAAACGAAAAGTCAAATGGCTCGAGGTTGCGTTGCATAAAGACCACCCCTGCTCGTTCTCAACCGAAGCCTAGCAAGTTTTAGCGTCGTCTCAGTTCGTCCAAGTTCTCGATACGCCAGTCCACCTCGTCGGGTCGCGTCACCAGCGACTCAAAGCACATCAGATACGACGTGTTGGTTTTCGCATGCAGTTTGTCCGAGTCGGTATTATGAACGCCATCCACAGAGAGTAAGACGTCGCACACCACGCTCAGTCGCAGTCGTTCAACCATCGTGGCAGCGTCCTCCTCAGTAATTGTCCCCTCCTCCCCAGCCAGACGTTCTCTGATGGTCTCGTCGCCTAGCATCTCCAGCGCGTCCACCCGCAGCTCATTGTGCGTCTTGGTCTTCTGCAGCTCCGCCATTCGGCCCGCGATCACCCTCCGCACAATCTCCTTCTTCTTGAACTTGGCCAGCGTCATCCGCCTCATGCTCACGCCAGTCAAGTGCACGCCCGTGAACTCCAGCGTGGAGCCTGCGATCTCCATATCGATAGTATCGGTAGATTGGGCATAGTACCTCACTCTGGGCAAGAAGTGGCGCTGGTAGCACGCGGGCTCGAACATGGTCTCCATCGCCTGCACCACCGCAGGCTTGACGCTCTCCTTCCCAGTCACGTAGTCCCTCACCTCCGCCGAGAACGTCCCGTTGATGACGCGATCACACGCCACTTGAGCCCCCTTGAGGAACTCCACCGCGTCGATCTGCGTGTTGGTGGGGCGCTGCAGCAGGCAGAAGAGCGCGTAGTTCTTGAACGTGGAGCTCTCGGGATGGAACACGCCGCTGTCCACGTAGCGCTGGAAATCGTCGTGGCGTTCGTACACACGCTTGCCATAGTCCCATAAACTACTCGAGGGCTGGGACGACGAGAAGGGCTGGTGCCGCAGCCCAGAGCCAGACAAGCGGCGTCGGTGGTGAGCTACACGGCGCAACATCGTGTGCATGTCAAAGACTTTTTGGTCCTAAGTGAGCCAAAAAGGGTTTTAACCAATGAACGACAAGATAGAGTGCTTCAACGTTTAGAATCTAAACTTTCAGATGACTTCTACTACAAGCAACAAGTCCGTCTTGATTGCATCGGTACCTCCACTTGCTTCGCTGGCTTTACGTTCGTTCGACTAGAGGTATCTCCCGCGCATCTTGTCCAATCCGTCGGACTTTGCCATCTCGGCCACAAATGGAAGAACCAGGGCATCAAGCTCGGCCTTCACTTCCAGGGTGATCTTCTCCACCGCCCCCAGCGCCTTCAGGTTTTGCTCCAGTTGCGCGATTGAACTTGCTCCAATCATGACCGTCGACACGCTCTCATTGCTCACGCACCAAGCGAGAGCGATCTCCGCCAGCGAAATCCCAAGCTTTGAGACCACAGACTTGAGCTTCTCGGCCTTTGCAACACGCTCACCAAAGCCCTGCATGTACGCGCGATAGGTGAGTGTCCCATGCGCGTGTCTTCGGGCGTGCCAGCGCTGTACTTGCCCGTTAGCACGCCGTAAGCAAGGGGAGACCACGGCCGTGCTCGAAGGCAACTTTCATCATCTCGTACCAGGCTTTGGCTGTGTACTGTTCCTTGGCGTACATCCAGCTCCCGAGCGAGAGCTTGGACACCAGCAGCCCGGAGTTGCCGAGGAAGCGGTAGGTCATGCGAGGAGACTTGGCGTCGGAAGCCATAATAGATGAGGTTGGAGGGAAGGGAAGGAGAGGGGGGGGGGGAGGTTGGAGGCAATTTCCGGAATGAAAACTTGGGACTTGAGGATTCGTGCAAGGGGGGCGGGTTAAGTAATCGTTATCCACGAGAAGCACCATTTATCGTAAAAACCACGAGCTACAGGACCTCTGAGCACACAGGGGTTAAGTAATCGTGCCCCAAACGTATGATTGCTTCGCTCGATGGCTCTGGTGAACCAGCACCGCTCAAAAACTAAGTTTCACCTCTATAATATTGTCTATTAACATCAGTTTATACAGGTCCTCATCTCATTGGTCACAAAATCTTTCATACAAACTCGCAGTCAAAAATTAACACGATAATGGCTCGCTACGACGACCGCGACCGGAAGCGCCGACGTTCCCGCCCCCGTTCCCGCTCTCGCCCACGCTCTCCTCGTCGCCACCGCCATGCGTCACCACCTCCGCCTCCCTCTTCTCGCCACCGTCGTAAATCCCCGTCCAAATCCGACGTCTCCAGCACTCGGAAGGCTAATTCCTCGCCAGTTGCCTCTAAATCGTCGGCTCTCCCCGCTTTAGAGCATCGCGAGGAGCTTTTAGCAGCGTTGGAGTACAACCCAGTGGTGGTGTGCGTGGGTGAGACGGGGTCCGGCAAAACCACCCAAATTCCGCAATATTTGCACAACTCGGGGATTTACACCAGTGCTAAACGCGGTTACGATAGTGCTAACCAAGGGAATCGTGTTAACCGTGACACGGAGGCAACAAGGGCGCAATGTGTTGCCATTACCCAACCAAGACGAGTTGCCACCGTGTCCGTGGCTCAGCGAGTCGCAGAGGAGATGGGTACCCGCGTCGGCGGCGACGGACTTGTGGGCTACTCGATCCGCTTCGAGTCGCGCTGCAGCGAGAAGACGAAACTCAAGTTTCTAACCGACGGTGTTTTGGTGCGCGAGTGTCTAAACGACCCCCTGCTTACGCAATATAGCGTCGTGATGCTGGATGAAGCCCATGAACGCAGTATTCACACCGATTTACTCTTTGGATTATTGAAGCAAGTGCTTAAACGCCGTCCGGACTTTCGAGTGTTGATCACGTCGGCAACATTGGACGCCGACCGATTCGCGGATTTTTTCGGTGAGCGGTTAAGTGAAGATAAGGGCAACAAGAGCAACAGCAAGAAGAAGAAGGTAAAGGATAAGGTAAAGCCGTGTCCCGTGGTGAAAATCCCCGGACGTGTGTTCCCCGTGGATATTTTCCACTCCAAGCAGCGGCAGATCATGGGACACAGAGGCCCATTGTCTACTTACGTACGCGCAGCAGTGGAGACGACCATGCAGGTGCACAACAGCGAGGAACCGGGTCATATTCTGGTGTTTCTAACCGGTCAGAGGGAGATTGAAGACGCGTGCGCGCAGATCCGAGCGCTGCATCGAGAACAACAAGAAAAGCGAAAGGATGAGATGGAGTTGCGGGTTTTGCCGCTGTATGGAGCGCTACAGGGTCGACGCCAGCGTGAAATCTTCGATGCAGTGCCAATGGATCGGGTGCGCAAGGTGATTGTCGCCACGAACATCGCAGAGACTTCGCTCACTATCGACGGCGTTCGGTACGTGGTGGACTGTGGATTCACCAAGCAAAAAGTGTACAACCCCGTGCAGCAAATGGAGTCGCTGGTGGTTGTGCCCATCTCCAAGGTGTCGGCGCAGCAGCGTGCTGGTCGAGCAGGGCGGACAGCGCCTGGCAAGTGCTATCGGCTGTACAACAAGACGTCCTACGAGGAGATGGACCAGGAAACGGTGCCTGAAATCCAGCGTACCAACCTGGCCAACACCGTGCTCTACCTTAAACTCCTGGGCATCCAGGATGTGCTTGGCTTCCCGTACCTGGACCCACCGGACGAGGACTCATTGCTGGATGCGCTGAAGCAGCTTTACGTGCTAGGCGCGCTAGATGCTGCAACTGGAGAGGCGACTCCGCTCGGTAAGCTGATGGCTGCCTTCCCGCTAGAACCAAAGCTGTCACGCGCACTTGTGGAGTCGTTGCTGTTGGACTGTAGTCGTGAGATGACCCAAGTGGTGGCGATGCTTTCTGTTGAGAACGTTTTCGTTGAGACTCCATCTAAAAGTAAGAGGCGGTGGCGACGAGATGAAAGTGACGGTGAGGATGAGAAGGCCCCCGATTGGGAGGAAAGAATGCTCGCGCTGAAAGAAGACGGCCTGCTGCATGAAGATGGAGACCAGCTCACGTATCGCTTGATTTTGAAAGCCTTTGAGTGTGTTTCACGCAAAGCGCAAGGCCACCGTCGAGATCTCGAGCACTGGTGTGAAGACCGCCATCTTTGGTTGAGGGCTCTAACCATGGCTGGGTCTATCGTAAAGCAGCTTCGAGACATCATCGACTCACTTCCTCGCCGCGATCTCGATGCGGTCAAGGAGACTATAAGCGATAGCGACAGACAACGGGATGCCTCGCTCGATGAACGTCTTCGCCAAGCACTTTGCGCCGGTTTCTTCATGAACGCAGCGCGGCGGTGCACTCTGGAGACGGTGTATCGGCTCATGTACCGCGATGACGATGGCAAAAAGTCGGCGCAGCTCGTGCAGTTCCACCCGCTTTCTACCATGTCTTACGTGTCGCCGCCTGAGTTTTGCGTCTACCAGGAGCTTGTCGTTACCAGTAAGCCGTTCATGCGTGGGGCTTTGGCTGCTGAGCGTCGCTGGCTGGACCAGTACAGCAAAGATAAGCTGAACGTCTCGGTGGCGCAGCTTTACGCACTCTGCGGGCACAAACCGCCCGTCGAGGAAAAGAGCGAGGAGAAACCAGAAGCTCAGCAGCCAGTTGTAAATCGTGACGAGGCTAGTACGTCTGCACACACGTCGAAGCCAGCTCCAGTGACGGCTGATGCCGTCGCGGCAGCTCGGGCACGCTTCTGGGCTCGCAAGAAGCGATCATAGATGGAGTTGGCAGATTAAAAGTTTAGAAATACAAGCTGCACGTTGCAATTAGTTAAAGCTATTTGTTGGAGTTTGAAGTGCTCAAGTCCGAAAAAAAAGCTCTGCCCCGCTTCAGCTACCGTCGTCGCCGCTTTCATTGCCATCTTCATCGGTATCGTCCGTGTCACTGCTCTGAGTCTCCTGAGCTTCTTTGACGATATCTGTCGTCTTGTCAAAACTCGACGCCGCGTACGGTACCCCAGTCTGCACAATGCAGCTGAACAAAGTCTGGTGGTATATCTTCAGGCTGGCTGTCAGGTCTTGGATTTTGTCGCGCAACTGCTTCGAAGTCTCCTCGGCCACGTCTTTGAAGTCGTCGAACTCTTGCTGCGCGAAGACAAGCTGCTCTTCAGCATGTTCGAGTGTGTTGTCCAGGTCTTCCCGAGTCGCTTCCAGCCTGCGCACGCTCGTTTGAAGGTCGTCGTTGTCCTGCTCCAGACGCTGAAGCCGTTGGCGTAGCTGTGTTACTTCGTCGTTGCGAGTTGACCGCTGAATTCGCTCGGTCCTGACGCGCTGGAGCTCGTTCTCCAATCGACGCTCCAGGTTTTTGTTCTCATTTTCCAGCTCGTTGTTCAGGCGATTCAGGCGCGAAACTTCACTCTCCAGCTCTTGCTCCACTTCGCGACTACACAGCTCGAGCTCCGAGAATTGGGCTCGCGCTACGAGGAGCTCCTCGTCCTTGCGACGTAGTTCTCCCTCCATCCGACGTAACTCGACACGAAGTCGCTCCACGGTGTCGACCAGGTCTTCATCAAATGCAGCGTCCGTCTCCATCGTAATCGCCGGCGCGTCTTTCATTTCTAACGTTAGCAGGACTTGGTCCTCCGACAAACTTCCTCCAGAGCCAACCTCGACAACCGAGACAGTGGTGACAGCCGTCCTCTTCATCTCCTCCGACCGCGGAGACTGGATCGTCCCCGCGCAACTTCGCCACTGAACTCTGCTTCCAGATCGCTGTCACTGACGTCCGATCGCGTGGTGACCAGCTCCTTCAGGCCACGACTGCGTGTGTAAAGCTCTTGAGTCCAGTCCATTCGGCAGTCCACCCAAGCTGAAACCTGTACAAAACGAACTCCACCAAAACAATACACACGCACACACCTGAAGTGCCTCACCACCAACGCCAACGCCAACGCCGCTCGCTGATCAATCAATGAACACGCATCTTGAATTCCTAAGTATCTTACTCTGCACGGGTCGCAGCGGTAGGTAGGTCGTAATAGTAAGTAGTAAAGGGCTGGTCGCCTGCCCGCCCCTCGGCCTCTATTGGATCGCGCAGTAGGACTGCATGTCCGAGGCCTTCTTGACCTCGTCGAGCCCCTGTTGGGTCTGCTGCATGCTCTCGTGCACGTGGGTCTCGATGTCGTCGATGGCGCCCTGCTGGTCCTGCACGATGGCCGCGAGGTCGCGGAAGATCTCGTTGACCTGCGCCACGCTCTGGTGGATCTTGTTGATGTCCTGCTCGCGCTCCTCGATGAGCGCCTCGTTGTGCGCGATCTCGTTCTCGAGCTCGGCGAACTCGAAGACCTGCCCCTGGTGCTCGGCCACGATGCGGCCGTCCTGCTGCTGGTCCTTGAGCGCCTGCTGCTGCTCCTGCTCGCGCGCCGACACGCGCAGCACGGCGGCCTCGAGCTGCGTCGAGATGGCCTCGAAGTCCTTGCAGAGCTTGCGCTTGATGAGCGAGTTGGCCGCGTCCGCGGGCACGCGCGCGAGCGCCTTGGCGATCTCCTCCTGCAGCAGGCAGGCGAAGCGGATGCGGTCGTGCAGATCCTCGTCCACGGCGCCCGCGGCGGTGGACGCGCGCTTGATGGCCAGCACCTGGCGCTGGAACTGCTCCAGCTTGAGCGTCGCGCCCTCCACGGCCTGGCGGGCCTGCGCGGTCGGCAGCGACAGCGCCGCGCTGCTACTGCTGCCAGATACGCCAGTGGGCGGCGCTGAGCCGTTCGAGGCGAAGTCCGCGAAGCTCATGGAGGAGGTGGAGCTGGAGTGCCTGGAAGCGTCGCGCTTCTCTCGGTCAGTCGGTCGGCTCCTGGCTGATTTGTGAGTGCGGTTCCTGCTGCTATTAGGGGGTTCATATTCTTCAGGGGAGGGATTCGGGGACTGTAGAGGGGAGGGCGGGGTAGAGGAGGACACTGGAGGACCATTGAGGACAGACATGTTGAAGTTAAGGGGAATGTTGGTTCACTGTTATTGACCGCAGCAGCGCGGCGTGGAGGCTGAGCGTGGCCGCGGGCAGATGGAGCTGCAGGGCCGCGAACTGCTCGCGCGTCATGACGTGGACGGTGGACGCGGTGGTTGCCCTGGCGGAGGACGCGCGAGGCTCGCGCGCGAAGAAGGACACGGCGCCGAAGATGCAGCCGGAGGTGGTGGTGAAGGAGGAGGAGGAGGAGGCGACGTGGCCGCGAGCGACGACGTAGAAGCTGTCGGCGAGCTGCCCCGCGCTGTAGAATTCGTGGGCGGCGGGGACGTCGAGCTGCTGGAAGAATGCGTCCACTCTGTCGAGGACGTGCGGCGCGTCGGACTCGTCGATGAAGTGGCGCAGTAGCACGCTAGCCGGCTCGATAACGTGGCTGGCGCGCTCACCACCAGCATCTGCGCTAGCGTTACAGGTCAAGTGGTTCTCGCAGCAGAACTTGATGGCGTCCTCGGCACTGTCGTAGAAGCTCTCTTCGCCCGCGATGTCGTTCTTGAGCAGCAGCGTGCGGATGCTGGGGAGCGCACCGGCGAAGACGACGGCGATGCCTCGGTTCTTGCAGTACTTCTTGAGGATCAAGAAGGCGCCTCGCGCTGCCGTAGCGTCCATGCCGGAGACGCGGCCGAAGTCCATGACAACAAACTCGGTCGGCGAAGCGTGCGCGTTCAACGCTGGCGTACCGTCCAAACACTCGATGGAGACGCTGTGAGGCGCCGCGCGTGTCGGTAGGAAGCTCTGCCTGTCCGCAGCACCAGTAGCAACATCGGTAGTGCTCTTGCGGACGTAGACTCCCTTCTGGACACCCTCAAGGATCTGCACCACGGAGCCGAAGAAGAGATACCCGCTGAACTCGAAGTGGGCGATGGCGCCGCGCTGTCGGGTCCGCACCGTGTTCGATGCGAGCGCCTGGAGCTGCATGTCGGACGACGACGACGAAGAAGAAGAAGAAGATGAAGAGCCCACACAGGGATTCACGATGGGGACCTCCACGTAGCTCAGCACGAAGTTGACGACGGCCACGCCCACGCCGATGAGCATGCCCACGTCCAGAGACACGAGGTTGATGGCCAGGAACGAGAGCCACACCACGGCCCACTCGCGCACGCACATCTTGCGGTAGGCGAGCAGCAGCCACTCGAGCATGAGGTCGAGCGCGACGAAGAAGAGCGTGGCGGCCAGGAAGAAGCGCGGCACGTAGCTCATGACGGACACCGGCACGGCCACGATCGCGAGCTCCGCCAGGATGACGCAGACGCCGACCACGCGCGAGTCGGTCTTGGAGCGGCACGTGAAGATGGTCTGGCCGAAGATGTACGAGCCCGTGTAGCCGCCGAGCAGCCCGCTCACGACGTTGGACCAGCCCACGGTCTTGAGCTCGTGGTTGATATCGAGCTTGCTGCCCATGTCGATCTCGATGGCCACGACGTCGAGGCTGGACGAGATGGCGACGATGAAGACCATGCCGAGCCACGTGACGACCTGCTTGGGGACCTGCGCCCAGTGCACGAGGTCCAGGTCGAAGAGGCCGAGCAGCTCCGAGACGGACGCCGTCTTCTCCACGGGGTCGACCCAGCCGCTGTCGCGCGCCTGGTCGAGCGAGATGCTGCCGATTGCCAGCACGAGGAAGAAGAGGACGGGCATGACCATGATGGCCGTCGACAGCGCGAACGGGTTCTTGAAGTTCTGCGAGACCAGCAGCAGCGTCGCGCCGCCCAGGAAGCCCGGCACGCACAGCAGGACGTTGTGGGCGTCGTTCAGCACGTGCAGCATGGACGAGAAGTCGTTGACCACGAGCCCCGTGCTGAGCGCGAGGCCCGCGTAGAGGCAGAAGACGCCGATGAAGGCCAGGTAGCCCCCGATGACGGGCATGGGCAGGTACGAAGCAAGCGCGGCGAGCTTGAAGCGCCCCATGACGACGAGGCAGACGCCCAGCGAGGCCGTGGCGATGCCGATGGTGACGATGGTGGTGGCCACTTTGGCTTCCGGCGACACGTCGTCTCCGAGGTCCTTGCAGATGGAGGAGGCCATGGCGCTGAGGAAGATGAGGCCGGCGTCCTGCACCTGGCCGATGGCGAAGGGCAGCGAGCTGAGCAGCGTGAACATGAGCTGGTGGACGGCGCTGGAGAGGATGACGAGCTTGGAGAGCGCGGGCATGAAGGCGCCGAAGGTCGGGTGGCTGAAGATGATGACGGCGTAGCCGTACATGGTGGGGATGGCCCGGATGGAGTTCACCACGCCGTACAGCAGCGAGTTAAGCGTTTTGGTGAACTGTGGTGCTGTGTTTGATTCATCGTTCCTGGGCTTGAAGGTTGTCGAAATCTCGCTTGGACTGGGCAAGAATGGTTGCAAAGGGGATCGGACCTTCGACTCTAGACCGCTGTTTGTGGTGAACGCCATGGTCTCTAGTAGATAGCAAAAAGGAAAGTGCTCGTTGTTCGCTATTCAACCAGGATTTAACTTGCAGCCGTTGACAACCGCCGGTTGCAACGCCGGAAAATAGACAGATCATGGCGGCGTATGCGCTTCATGTCTGCTGAATCTCTTCCCACTTGCTCAAAACGAGCTCTCGCCTCCGGCTTGAAAGCGTCATCGACAGGACTTGAGAGCTCCGAAGGGCTGAGGGCTGAGCTGGTCTTCTGAACACGCGTTGATTATGCTGCAACCGAACAAGCGTCACTCACTACAGATCCCCTCGGGCGGCGTGTTGTTCAATAGATGGATACAGAAGAAAAAGATACCAACTTGGTCATATGGATTGAACGATCCAACACGCAGGAGGATTCCCCGATTTGAATCCCAACAGCGTGGCCGGCAACCAACCAACATCGCAATGTTCACGTGGCTTCATGAACGGATAGTGGCTGCTAGCACCGGGCCAGCCTGTATTCTTTTTTATGAGTAAGAGATCTTGAGATGTGCTTAAAGCTACAGCTGGTGATTTGACGTTCAACACTCCAAAATCGGTGAAGGAACTCCTTCATTTGCGAAAAGGACGAGAAGGAGGCAAGCGGACGTCGGCAGGTGCGAGGCCGTCGAAATGCAAGCCCCTGCTGCTAGGAGAGGGTGTGCGTGTGTGCTAAGATCATGGTATCATTTGCGTGTTAGCTGGGGGGGGAGTTGTGCGCACAGGGCCAACACAAGCACGCGGTATTTGCGGAGGGGGCCCTGCACCGAGCTTTCCAGCGCCTCGTGCAGTACTCGGCTCGCTAGACTGCTTGGCGCGGGGGCGTCCAGCCAAGCGCAGCCCGGCAGGCAACATGTTGTGGTAACAAGTAGTTGGCACTAAACATTAAAGTAGATCCAGCGTGTGTTGCTTAGCGCCTCGAAGCACTTTTGTCAGTACTGTAGCTACTTCAGACTACACGCAATGGTACAGTAACATACAGAATACAGCATTTAGTGCAGCTCAGCCGCTTGCTCTCGAACCGAAGTGATATGTAGTGTTACTGTGAGGACACTTAGACCCAAGGACTTGGCGATCAAGTCCTCCAACTCCGTGGCCAAATTGACCAGACTTGGCCACTTGGCCCATGCTCGTGCTGGTGCTGGTGCTCGCTCGGTTGGTTGGTTGCTGGCAGCAACTTGCTGCCAACTTGGTTGGAACGTCCAACCAACATACGGAAATGTTCTCGACAAAAAACAGAGTGTCAGCCTATTCTTTTACCGTGCGTGCACCGGTGCACCACGCTGCACCGACTGGAGCTGACCCGGTGCAAGCATCCTCTGTCTCATGAACGAACCACTATCGTTGCCACAACAAAAGGGCAGATTGTCTTGCCGACCTACGGATAGATGGAACGACGATGCCTGGCTTCATGATGAATGACAGCGTTGCGTCAATTTACATTGAAAAATTGATTGAGATTTGCCGTCACGCTACAATTTTAATTGTACAATGTAGGCATTGAATTGTACTAGCCGAGCGCCGCCGCTACGCGGCGAGGAACTTTTGGTTGGTTAGCGCTTCGCTCGCTATGCTCGCTCCGCTATTGAAACAGGCTGCCTACGCTTCGCTACGGCAGCAGTGGACCCGTTCCGCTCGCCTCGTCGGCTCGCTGCACTACTCTCAATGTTTAGTTACTACTACAGAGATTGGGCGGGCCCTGCGGTCCCGCAATATCGTATGAGGGGGTCGCCTTCGACGACGGGGTGTGGTCTTTTGTGCTGTTGAATGCAAAAGCGATAGTGTATTGAATGCAGCTTCGCGAAGCTCCTGCCGGTTGGTTTCTAGAACGACTGCTAGCACGGCGACTCCTGGCAAGGATCGCCATGCGTCCGTTGTAGATCCTGCGTCCGTTGTGGATTCAAGTCTGAAACTACTCCACACAGCCCCCAAAGACTTGATTATGCTCTGTTGCCGTCTTGCAACGTCTTGCGGTATTTCTTGAGCTTGGTGTCCGAGCAAGTGTCGACGTACCGATCGACGATTTCTGGTACTGCATTGAAGATACCACCGAACTCTTCCTCCGTGTCCTCCAGTCCTTGCCAGCTCACGAGCAACTGCCATTCCTTTGCCTGGCGGTTGTACCGCCCATCTCGTACTGCTCGGACGCCCAGCTTTATCCCTTGGAGAGCGACATGGTGCTTGAGCTCTTCGGTGACATCGAGCGTTCCGTCCGCGTAGTGCTTTAGTCTGATGGCATGAACGTCGAACTGCTCACCAGTTAGCAGGTGCTCTATCATGTAGCTGGTAGGGAGCTCTTGGACAATCCGGAACGGTCCGCCCCACCGGACCATCAGCTTCTTCCCCGACATCCGTGGGTCTGCTCTCGACCACAACACAAAGTCGCCGACTGAAAATGCACATTCCCGGCCCTTCTTCGCTGCTTGTTGTCGTAGTCGGCGCTGCTCCTTCGCGTCAACTACTTCTGCATGGAGTTCGCGTAGACTGTTGCGCAGTGAGTCTAGCTGATCCTCGTATTGATGTAGGTCCCCTTGCGCTACTTCATGCGCTGTCGAACCCGCTCTTGGCTTCAGGACTACGCCCACGATGGGCTCACGGTCCAGCCCGGTGAAAACTTGCAACGGGGACTTCCCCATTAAGGAACGGACTGGTGTCTGGTTCAAGTTGGATTGCACGACCGGTAGTAAATATTCCCAGTTTCGTGAGTCGAGTTGAAATTCGAGCAGGAGTACACGAACGACCTGAAGTATATCCCGATTCAAGCGCTCCACTGTGCCGTTAAGCCAGGGCGAATAAACAGGAACAAATCGCTGCTCAGCCCCTAGCCTGCTCTTGAGATCGCCCATGAGAGTGTTGCGGAAGTGCGATCCGTTATCCGACATCCACGTCTCTGGCAATCCGAATCGTTTGTACCAGTCGAGTACTGCCGTGGCGGCTACTAGCCCGTCGTCACTCTGACATGCCACGAGCTCACAGTAATGGGACAGATCATCCTTTAGGACAAGCAAGTACTGTGACTCGCCGTAGCTGTCCCCCATGGACAGGAAGTCCATATGCAGCAATTCGTTCCGCCGAGTCGCCGTGTGTGTGCTATTCCACGGACGCTGAATTAGCTTCCCGCCCTTGACATGCTTGCACAACAAACAGTCAGCCACAAATCGTTCGACACGGTTCCGGAGGTCTGCTATCACGAACTCATCGCTGAGTAATTGTAGCATAGCGTCCGCTCCGCGGTGTGCTCGTACGCCACAGTGAGCAATAATCATCACACGCGTAACGAGACCCTCATCACTGGATGGCAGCCATATTTTACCGCCTGCAGTCCAAATACCATTCCCGTCCTGCTCAAATCCTGGACCTGGATTATCTGCGGCGGTCTGCGACTTCTTGATCGACTCCAATGTTGGCCACTCGAACTGCTCGTCCTGCAGTGGTCGCAGCCTCGAAAGTGTCGTCCCATTACCCACCCGTGCTGCCTTCACCTGAACGATTCCTCGCTGTGGTGGCTGTCCCTGCGGTGTCCACCGCGATACTATATCCGCCCACAGGTTCCGTTCGCCGTCGATATGCTCAATCGTGTATCGCAAACACGAAATGCGCAGCGCCCACCGGAGTAACTTGCCCCGGGTGTGCTTCTTGACGTCTTCTGAAGGCGAGAAAATCTGAATCAAATTAGAATGGTCACAGAAAGCTTTGAACCCTCCTTCTCTCTCCAGGATGTAATCCAATGAGATACACGCTCGAACCACGGGGTAGGCTTCCTTCTCGACGACTGACCAGTGCACTTGTGCTCCTCTAAAGACACCACCTTGGCAAATCAAAAGTTCATGGGCTTGTTCTTCAACTGGAACTCCATCTCTCCAATCTCGAACCTGGGTCAGGATAATTGACCACCCGTAGTCACTGGCGTCAGTCAGCAGACAAATTGTTGCCTTATCTTCGGGAAAATAGAGTTTGGCCGAGTTTGCAATACTCTGGAGCGCTTGCGAGTATGCACCTCGTTCATCATCAGACCAAGTGAGGGCTACTGCTCTTGCTGAGTGCTTGTTTCTGCTGCGGTTCACCAGCGCTCCATTGAGCTTCGACTGCATCGGCTCGAAGACTCGTGCAAAGTCAATCACGCTGTCTCGAATCCAGTTGCACGCACAGAGCCGACAGTCGCTCCGGGTCCTGCCGGATGCCTTGGCCATCGATGATCCGGCCGCACCATGACACCTCAAACGCCATCAGCACACTCTTCTTCGCGTTCAATTTCAGGCGATGCTTGGCCGTCAACTCGTAGAACAGTCTCAGGTTCGCCAGAAACTCTTCCTCCGTCCGGCCGTAGACAATAATGTCATCAATACAGATGAGAGCTCCTTTGTACAGCAGTGGCTTATATACTGTCTGCATCTGATTCTGGAAATGTAAGGCGGAATCTGTCGCTCCTTGCGGGACACGTAGTGGCGTGTAGACACCATCATGTGTCATAAAGCTGAACATCTCCTGGCACTCCTCCGCGAGCATGATCTGCCAGAATCCCTTGAACATATCGAACTTGGCAATGAACTTCACGCCCGAGACGAACTTCAAAATAATCGAGAAGTGCGGCATGGTACCCGCAATTGGCACTGTCTTGTTGTTGATCTTGATGTAGTTGTTCGTCACCCTGAAGTCTCCGCTACTACCGGGCTTCAGCACTGGCACTGCATTAGACACCCACTTACTGAGATTATTTTTTCGCACCAACCCGAACTCAAGCAGCTGAGCGACGTGGACTTCGAGGAATTGAAGCTGGGCAGGAGGATATCTGCGAGGCTTGCAGCGAACAGGCTCTTCTCCCTTCTTCAGCGTGACAACCAGGGGTTCTACCAGTGCTGGCTCATCATGTCCGATCCGTGTCCGATACAGTCTGCTGAACTCCCTGCTGAGCATAATTACATCATCTCGAAAGTCCTTGTACTGGGAGTCCCTTAGCACCTTCTTCACCTCCTCACACATGCGATCCAACTCA